AATAATAATAGTAGTATTAATAATAATAATAATAATAATAAAGAAGGAGAAGAAGATGAGAACTTTGAGATAGAATATTAATGTAAGGATTAAACAATGATAATAACAAATGTCAAGGTTAGAGGTTCCACTAATGGTATGTCAAACAAGTATAGTATAAACTCTTATTATTCATTTGGAAACCACACACAAAGGAGATTCCAATCTGATTATAGATTGTTAACATGATTACATTAGTCATCTTATTCGATTAATGCTAATACTTGTAAATCTCGTCAAGCATTCATGATTATAACTTATGTTAACAACAAATCAAGTTCCTTTCATAGCTCAGGTGTCGGTTATACCATACAGTATGAACTATGAAAGTGCCAAGCATTTGTTGTACCAAGTGTTATACAATATAAATCAAGATTAGTCATTTAACAAGCAAAGTATTAAAGAGTGAACAAGATAACAAATACAAAACATGTTAGTATCAAACATTAAAGTCCATATTAAGTTTACACTATACTTATTCTTACACCATTAGTGTAGCCTTTTCACCTTGACATAATAAATTTAGCTAGACATAATGAAAGAAAGAAAAATAAATAAACAAAATAAAAATATAAATAAGATAAAAGTTAACTAAGAAAATGAAAGGAAATGAAAGACATAAACTTGATATTAATGAAAGCAAAGCATAAGCAATACAAAAAATACAAAGAGAGAAAACAAGAGCATGATCTTGATCTGGAAACCAAGATGCCTAAATGCATGGCAAATGCCTCCTTTTATAGGCCAAAATTGGAAACTATTGATTTGATGACTAATTGATGAGTGGGTGGCCAACTCTTGACTTGGTGACAATCCTTATCTTCTCTTGTCTACCCAAAATGTCATTGATAACGTCAAAATTGGAACCACTTGAAAACATAAAAGTTGTAGGCAATTGTCTCAGCTTTTTTATGTAAAACATTCAGCTCATTTGGACTTCTAGAACTCCAGATATGGCCAAAATACAGAACAGTGCTCGAGCTGGAGGACAGATTCGAGCTTCTTTGTTGTTGCTACAATTTGGACTTGAAAATGGCCTTTTTAGATCTTGGGCTCCATATGAAAGTTGTAGACCTATGTCTTACCTTTCCATCCATATAAATTAGACCTAAATCTGAGATCTATAACTCCAGATATGACCCAATTACCGAATAGTGTTCCAGTTTTGATTGCACCGACATCTCTTTTCTAATTTTGGTCATCTCTTTGCCCTTGGAATTTTAGTTCTTAAAATCATCAATCAATCCTTTCATTTATGTGATAGGCCTGTATTTAAAATGAACATTTACCACAAATTAAAGATATCTTATATTATTAGATATATTATTATAAAACATGCTTTAGTTAAGGAGTTATTAATACTTCAAGTGCAAAATGATGATATAAAACCATGATAAAAATACACTTTTAACTACTAATCAGAGAATAAATCAATATTTTAGTCGTGTCATGACTGATTTAACTTGATCCATGTGTTGGCTTCCAGAACTACTTGCATTTGCATTGTATTGCCCCTTAGGATTTTGTTGTGGTTGAGATGGAAACTTACCTTTCTCTTGGAAACTAAGAGCATATGTCAATTTTACAAGAGTATCTTTAAAATCTGTCATGTTTTGAGCAAGTTAAGTATTGATTGTCTCTTGCTTTTCAATGAATGCATGCAATGTTTCCTCAAGATTTCTTGTAGGAGGTGGAGCATAAGGAGATGTATATCCATGAGAATTTTGAAAATTATGGTGTGCTTGAAATGGTGGTTGTGAAGTTTGCACATTGTTATTATCACTCTTCCAACTGAAATTTGGGTGATTTATCCAATCAGGGTTGTATGTTTGAGAGTATGGATTGTGGTTGGCTCTTTGGAAACTGTTTAAAGCATGAGCTTGTTCATGGAGACATTCCTTAAAAGAAGGCAAGGTTGGACAGTTACTAATTGAGTGTTCATTTGTTTCATATATTTGACACACAATGTTTTCAACATATTTTAATTTACCACTCCTTTTCAATTCTAGTGTCTCGACTTTTCTAGCTAAAGATGCAAACTTCGCTTGAAGGTCATGATCTTCCCTAAGGTTGTACATACCTCCACTAGATGTATGAGGTTGAGTTTTACTCGGTCCCTCATAAGTACCCGCGGTGTCCTAATTTTGAGCATTTTCAACTAACAAATCTAAGTACTCCATTGCTTTATCAAGGTCTTTATCTTCAAAAGTTCCATTGCACATCAATTCAACCATTTGCCTATCTTTAGGTGTTAACCTTTCATAAAAATATGAAACCAATATCCATATTTCCAAACCATGATGAGGGCAAGTATTAAGCAAGTCTCGATACCTATCCCAACATTGGTAAAATATTTCTCCTGGTTTTTGAGTGAAAGTGGTGATTTGTCTTTTAAAAGAGTTTGTTCTCTGAGATGAGAAAAACTTCTTTAAAAACTGTTGTTGCATTTTATCCCAAGCATGAATGGATCCTAGCCTTAAATTTTGTAACCATGTTTTAGCTTTATCTTTTAATGAAAAAGGAAAAAGCTTTAATCTGATGGTGTTCATGTTACAATTTGAGTCATTATACGTGTTGCAGACCTCCTCAAATTCCTTTAAATGCAAGTATGGATTTTCCAATTCTAAGCCATGAAAAGAAGGTAAAAGTTGAATAATGCCTGGTTTAAAATTAAAATGAGATGCATCAGGAGGAAAAACTATGCATGATGGTGCACTTGTTCTTGTGGGATTCATGTGGTCTCTAAGTGTTCTAGCACGGTTATTCTCATTATTCTCATTTTGAAGTGATTGATTATCTTCTTCGGCCATATTTTCTGAAAATGATGAGGATACCCTACAAAGTCTACCACTTGATGTACGTGACCACACTCTCATGCACGTGTAGGAATAAAATAAAAAAGAAGAAGAAAGCAAAAGAAGGAGGAAGAAAACAAAATAAAAAGAAACAAAAGAAAAGAAACAAAGTTATATACAAGAAAAGTGAAAAGTGAAAATAAAATAAATATTATAATTTATACAAAAACTTACCTCCCCGGCAACGGCGCCAAAAACTTGACACGACTAAAATATTGATGTCTTCTCCCAAGTGTAGGAGTGTCGAAGTAATAAATAACCCGGCAATACCGGGGTCGAACCATAGGGATGTTAATTGAACAAATTATAATAATAATAATAATAATAATAATAATAATAATAATAACAATAACAATAATAATAACAATAAAAATAATAATAATAATAACAACAATAA